AGCACTTTTTCTTTTTTTAATCCTCACATGAGGATATTTTTCCATTGATTTTTAGGGAGAGTAGAAGACAGAGGGAAAGACAGAGAGAAACATCGATGTGAGAGAAACACATCGGTTGGTTGCCTCCTGCACGAGCCCCAACCAGGACCCAGGCCTGGGAGGAGCCTGCAACTGAGGTACGTGCCCTTGACCGGAATCAAACCCGGGACCCATTGGTCCAACGCTCGTCCGGTGAGCAAGCCGGCTAGGACTTGACCAGGATTTTTAAAGCAATAAGTAAAACAGAAAATCGTCTCTTGCACAGAGTAATTTACTGTTTCAATTATGAGGCACCTGTTACTATGGGTTGAGGTAAAAACATTTGTGCATGTTGGAAAACTTTCATAATAAAAAGTTAAAGCAACAACACTGCAAGAGAGAGGCGGTCCCTCCTCCTGCCTCAGCTAATGCTTGTTTTAGGTCCCCCCCTCCCCTTTTCAGGACCCTTATATTCTGGACTTTAAGCCTTCTCTTTCTGTAAAAATCAAAAACACCTCAGTGGCCTCCTCCTACCCCCAAGTTCCTCTCCCTTCCCCTTCTCAGTCAAATTTCTCCAAAGAGTTATTTATCTGCTTGCCAAAGGCTCCCTTACCCCACTGCCACCCCTCCGTCACCCCTGCAGTCTGTCTCCTGCGCACTGCACCCCCCTGACACAGCTCTCCCTAAAGTCCCAGTGACCCCAGGAGCCCATACATCTAGAAGACACTCTTCAGTGCTCACTCACTTCTTGTTAATTCCTTCTCATCCTGCCAGCCCCTGGGGAAGCCGGCACTGACCTCCCTACAAGGTCAAACCACCCACCAGTGGCACTCTCTGTTCCTCTTTCCTTTCTAACCGTTGTTAGTTGTCACTGTTAAAATGCCACATGTCTGCCCTAACGGGTTTGGCTCAGTGGATAGAGCGTCGGCCTGCGGACTGAGGGGTCCCAGGTTCGATTCCGGTCAAGGGCATGTACCTTGGTTGTGGGCACATCCCCAGTAGGAGGTGTGCAGGAGATCAGCTGATCGATGTTTCTCTCTCATCAATGTTTCTAACTCTCTATTCCTCTCTCCTCCTCTCTGTAAAAAATCAATAAAATATATTAAGAAAAAAATACGTTTAAAAAAAAAAGTCACGTTTGTGCCATTATTTGCCTAGATTAAGCGTCCTCAAAGACAGTGATTAAGTCTGTCTCTATTCACCATGGCAGCCGAGGGCCTCCCTGGCCCAGCATGGGTCACAGTAGGTGCTAAATAAACTGATGTTAGATAAATATTCGGTGCCAGTCTGTGCTAGGCCTTAGGTGTCTGACGATGAAAAAAGTTCCCACAAGTGAAGGTGGCGGGGAGGAGGAGAGCCAGGGAAAGGCGGGAGGAAGGGCTGCTCCTCTCCTGCTTCCCAGACCAATTTGGAGATTTTCACAAAGAGCACATACCCCCACAGCTGCCACCATTCACGTTCCTCGTGTCAGAAAAGCCAGCGACCAAGGTAGGAATATTTGCCTACCATTTGGTAGTGGCATATAGAGCTCTTTAGTGAATGCTTTATATCACTATGGGTGACACCTCTTTCTGGCATCAAGCTACTAGAATTGAGGTCTGGATCTGTTTCATTGTGCCTACGTGTGGCTGGCATCTTCCACAGCACCGGTCCCTGACGGACTCCACAGAACAGCAAAAGACCTTATTCTTTGCTGTATTGCCATAGCCAAAGGCCATTTTATTGCGCTTAAATGCTTTCACTACTTGGTTGCTGACTTCCTGTGGTATATCAGTACATAAACACTCACTTTTGACATTACAAGATCAAATACATATGACAAATATTTAATATCTAACAAACACAGTATGGAGATGCAGCCAGCAAAATACAGACTATCAGAAACTCTACTGAACAAGTGACCAGGTTTCTTCCAACAAAACAATTGGGGGAGAGAGACAGAGAGAGAGAGAGAGAGAGAGAGAGGCTGGGGGGGGGGGGGGGAAGAGGATTAAAAAAAAAAGTGATTTAAGGGACATATTAACTAGACAATTGAATGGGATTGTTTGGATCTTTATTCAAATAACTTGAAAAGGAAATTATAGGATAATTATAGAGAAATGTGAATATAGACCGGAACTCTGATGATAATAAGGATATATCACCACTTTTTCTGGAGTGTGGTGATAGTTGATAATATTGTGGTTAGGTTTTAAAAGGGTAGTCCTAATCTCTTTGAGATACATATTGAAACACTGATAGATTGTAAAACATAAAGTAATATAATGTATGGGATTTGCTATAAAATAATCAGAGTGAAGTGGGGTGGGGAAGAGGCCAGGGTTTTAGAAGGAAGGAAATTGTCAGTTGTTAATGGTTGAAAGCTAATGTAACGAACAGAACCCCAAAGTACCCCCCTTTTAAAGTAGCTTTTAAAGTCTGTAATAACTTAGAAGTTTTACACTTTTTAACATGTCGAAAGAGAGCAGTACTTTGATTCACAAGCCTCTTAAGGTATCTTTGAACAAAGGGCTCAGAGCTCCTGGCTGCTTGCCTTTGTCACGGTTCTGTTGTAGGGCTCCCCCTCTTTACCTCCGTCACCACAGGAGCTGGTCTGTTTCAAGGCTGCACACTGAACTGCCTGCCCTCCAGTTCCGTCTGGCAGCGCCAGAGGTTTGCAGCCTTCCTGCTGCTTTCGAGCTCAGGCATGTAGCTGTCCATCCACGTCTTCACCAGCAGTTAGTTTGCTGGGGGCTGGAAAACACGGCCACGCCAATGCTTCCAGGCCACAGCACGCACCCTGCCCGTTCCCACTCGGCTTTCCATCCGTCTCTGACACACCGGGTCACCGGGTAACCTGCCTGTTTTTGCCCGTGACTGCTTCTTTCTCAGAAAAGTTTGAACTAGCCAACTTAAAAATATTCAGAAACGTCTAAGGTCTACTGGACGCTGTGCCAAAATCGGAAGTCGGGTAGAAATGAAATTCCTGCAAGAGTTTAATGGCATTCAACTGCCTGCTGACACAGACAGCACGAAGCACCGCTCACAGACGCACTGTGGCTAACACGGAAAAGCTGCCTGGCCCGGCCGCTGTAACTCCCAAGTCCGATAAGCCTTGCTTGGCTACAAACTTTCTTAATTCACGCGAGACAGATGCAGTTGCTGAGAAACTGGAGACCGATCAGGGCTTCCCTCCCCCCAGTCCTCAGCAAAACAGATCTTCCCTAAACCTTCCTTGGTTAAATCACAACTAAAATAAAGCAGCTATTGCATTCCTCCGTGTGACTCAGACAAGATAAACAGCTAGATTTCATTCACCAGCCTCAAAAACACACCGCACGAAACACCGAAAGCCTCGTCTATCTTGTCCATGAACAACGCGAATGAAAACAAAGAGCAGTGAATACGAGCGTAAGCACAGGAATTTTCCAGCATTCTCATCTCCATCGGTGCACGGACACACAGACGCCCCCCCGACCCCCCACTCCCATCCCCCTCCACCCCTACCCCCCTGCGCGGAATTGGCCAACGGGTAACCTGCACTGACATGCAGTAGAGAAATACAGAAATGTATGTGTTTTGTCTTTGGGTTTTTGTCTGTTTTGTTTTAAATGGGAAGGAAGGGAGGAGAGTGGGGCGTTAAAAATTGGAGATGTCTTAATTCTCCCCTCTCCCCCCATCTTTCTCTGCATGACAATGCAGGCACATCGGTGAGATGTCCAGTGACAGTTTCCTGGGCAGTTAAATACCCCAATGAAAACCGGGAAGCCGGGAAGTGTGTGCGCGCCGGGAGGGAGATGAGGGTGAAACCCCAGACGGGGAGGGCGGGCCGGGTCAGAGCCCTGCGCTCCGCCGGCCGCCGCACGGAGCAGCCGAGGTCGCGCGCGCCCGCAGCCCGCAGCCCGCAGCGGGCACGTCCAGGGTCTCGGCCGCTCGCTGCCCCGGGTTTTGCTGGTGACGGCGCCGCCTCGGCCGCCCACTCACACCCCGGGCTGGCCGCGGCGGTAGGCTAGGCTCATCCGCTTCCGGCGACAAACCCCGCCCACCACCTCTAGAAATAATGTGACATTCCCCACCGCTTTCCCAAGACTGACAGCCCCAGGGAGAGCCGCGGAGCCGGGGGCTGGGGTCTCGCCCGTCACGCCCAGCGGCGCCCAGCTGCGCAGGGAGTGACAGCGAAGGGGGGGGGGGAGGGCGTGGGAGGAAGAGGAAGGGGGTGTGGAATCTCACTCTCCCGCCCCCACCCCGCCGACTGCCGCAATTGGCCAAAAAAATAGTAATTCGTTTTTAGGCTCCCCCAAGGCCCCCTGAACCCCGTTGCAATGAGGAACCCAGTCTCTCCCATCCGGGTGGCCTTCGCCTTCTCCCGCCCCCGTAACTGCCTACAGGGACCCTGGAGCCCCAGGCCACGCCGAACTGCAGAGGCTGGGGCGGGGGGTGGGGGGAGGGGTTAGGATAAGGGTTTTGGGGCGGCAGGAATGGGTTGGGGGAAGGGGTGGTGGAAAAGGAAAAAAAACAGAGGCATGCAAGTGGCTCCCTAGCCAGCTGTTCCAGCTGCCGCTTCCTCCGACGCGGGCCGGGCGGTGCAATATTCCACCCCCCCTCCATCTTTCTTACCACTACCTGTCCCCCCACCCACCGCACGCACACATTCCCCCCACCAGTAGCAGATCTCTGGCCTGTAAGAGGGAGGTAGGGAGGAGCCGGGGGGGAGGGGGAGGCCTGCGAGTTTCTAACCTTGTTCTTATAAACAAACCCACATGTGCAGCTGCCGCTGCTGCAACTCACCCCACAATCCCGGATATAAGTCCTGCCCCTTTAAGAAGAAAAAAAAGGCTTCCCCCTCCTGCCTCCCACCCCACCCATCCACAAGGACCTTTGTTTCTCCACCCCCTTTGTCAGTCGGCCCCGCCCCTCCGATGTAGAGGAACCAATGGGATAAGGGAATAAGGCCGGTCTTCTGACGTCATCGTATCTGGCCAATCAAAGGACGCGTTGGTGGGACGCCTCACGGAGGGCGCGCCCAGAGGAAGGAAGGCAGGAGAAAGGAAGCTTGCAGTCAAGATGGAGACAGCTAATTGCTCCGCTGCCGTCGTAGGTAACGGGGACCTGGTGTCCCAGCGGGAGCGGAGCCTGCTGCCTGAGCGGCTTCAGAGGCGAGACCAAGAGAGGCAACTGGAGGCGGAAAGGCGGAAGCAAAAGCGGCAGAACCAGGAGGTGGTGGAGGAAAAGAGCGACTTCTTCACGGCCGCCTTCGCCCGGGAGCGAGCAGCGGTGGAAGAGCTCCTGCAGGGCGGGGAGTCGGTCGAGCGGCTGGAGGAGGCGGCCGCTCGGCTCCAGGGGCTCCAGAAACTCCTCAACGACTCGGTTTTGTTCCTGGCCGCCTACGAAGTGCGGCAGGCCCAGGAGGCGCTGGCGCAGCTGCAGGCGGCCCTGGCCGACCGGCGCCAGCAGCTGCAGCCCAAGAAGCGATTCGCTTTCAAGACCCGGAGGAAGGATGCTGTCTCGGCCCCCAAAGCAGTAGATGCGGCTCCCGGCGCCGCGGAGGCGGAAGGCACCCTGGCCTCCCCGCCCTCCCTGACCGAGGAGGGAGCCGTGGGCGCTAGCTGGCTCTGCGGCTTCTCCAACCTCAAGTCCCAAGTCTTGGAGAAGAGAGCGGAGGAGTTGCACCAGCGAGACGTCCTTTTGACCGAACTGAGCGATTGCACGATCAGACTGTACGGCAATCCCAACACCCTGCGGCTGAGCAAGGCGCGCCGCTGCACGTTGCTCTGCGGGCCGGTGTCCACGTCGGTGTTTCTGGATGACTGCAGTGAGTGCGTGCTGGCCGTGGCCTGCCAGCAGCTCCGGGTACACACCACGAGGGACACCCGCATCTTCCTGCAAGTGACCTGCAGGGCCATCGTGGAGGACTGCCACGGCATCCGGTTCGCCCCTTACACCTGGAGCTACCCGGGGATCGACCGAGACTTCGAGAGCTCTGGCTTAGATCGGAGCAAAAATAACTGGAGCGACGTTGACGACTTCAACTGGTTGGCGCGGGATGTGGCCTCCCCCAACTGGAGTGTTCTTCCCGAAGAAGAGCGAACGATCCAGGACGACTAAGAAGTGGTTACTCCTTTCTTCACTGACACCAAATTCTCCCCGTGTGGGAGGACTCCCAACCCACGGGACCCCACGGGTTACTTATCATTGTCACAGAGTATGTGGTTTCAGTAATTAAGACTTAAAGTTGTGATAGGCGATTTGTGATTTCCATTAAATTCGCGACAGGTATAACACTTTTATTTTTGCTACTTGGATAACTATTGCTAGTATTTGCCTGTGACAGTTTGAAGCCGTAAGCGGGGAAAGAGTGTGGTTCTCTGTTTTTGTTTTTATTGGTGGTATTTATAACTTACTGCATGATAAAGCAGGCCTTCAATAAATATTTAATAAATGAATGCCGCAGGGCGCTGGTAAGAGGCAGTGAATGTGGAATGATGGTACCGAACCCGTGCCAAGTACCATTAAGGAGAACCTTTCGGGCTGAGTGTTCTCAGCAGGGTGCTCCTCTGTGGTCTTCAGCTACACATTAGCTTGAGCTTCTGGAACCCAGCTGGTTATTGACTTGTTTGGGTCCAGAAGTCCGGCTTGGACCTCCAGAGGCTCATGAGTTTTCCCAACTGTAAAGCCAAAACTATTGTAGCTACCAATTTTCTGTGCATTTAAAATGTCACAGACACTGTGCTAAGTACCTTACTCAAATACACTTACTAAGGCCTCAAATTCGTATGAGGTAGGTCCGCATACACTGTTTTTCAAGCGGGGAAACATAAGTGTGTTGCCCGAGGTCACGCGTGCTGGTGGACTGGAATCTAAACAGTTGGCTCCAGCGCCCATCTTCTGAACCCGCTACGAGACAGTGATTTTGAATTGTGCTGTGTTGACAAGAGGCGTGCAAAATAATTAAAAAGGGCAAATTGCTTTTTAGAAAAGTATCTTTTTATTGATTTCAGAGAGGGAAGGAAGAGGGAGAGAGAGAGAAACATCAGTGATGAGAGAGAATCATTGGTTGGCTGCCTCCTGCACGCCCCCCACTGGGGATCAAGCATGGAACTGGGCATGTGCCCTGACCATTGAGCCATGCCAGCCAGGCAAATTGCTTTTTTTTTTTTTTTTTTTTTTTTAACAGGCATCATTATGGTAGGTTTCCTCATACAAAGAAATGGAGACAGCCCTGGCAGGGTCGCTCATTTGGTTCAAGTGTTACCCTATATGCCAAGGTTGTGGGTTTGATCCTGGGTCAGGGCACATACAAGAACCAACCAGTGCATACGTAAATACGTGGAACAACAAATCAATGTTTCTCCCTTCCTCTCTCTCTCAAAAAATAAAAAAAAAATTGAGGCAAATATCTAGTTCAGTCTGTTTTTTAATGGTGTTATCTATAATCATGTGATGTTATATGTAACATGACATTGACAGACATTAAATGGCTATCTAAAGAGAAGAGGGCATGGAGACAAGATCCAGCTCAGTTGTCATTTTTCCACTCATTTTGCTATGATTATGGTTACAAACTTGGCTTTTTGCTCTAGACACTACCATTCATTATTCTTAAATGGCTAGTTGAAAGATTTTTAAAAAGGTTTTTTGGGGTCTAATGGCCTGTAACTAATTGCTTTTTATTTGATAATTGCCACAATTATTAATGTGCTTGAAGTACCTGAAAGTACCTGTATGTTTAATATTTATATGTTCTATCTGGTTCCAAAAAAGGATTTAAAGTGGTTTCTAGGCTATGTGAAATGTAATAAGATAACAACTGAGGAAGAGGAGGAACAGAATAGTCACAAGATGGAGGCAGAAAAGAGGCCAATGAAAGTGTAGCCTGCTGTCCTGGCTGAGTGGCTCAGTTGGTTGGAGCATCGTCCTGTACACCAAAATATTGTGGGTTCAGTTCCTGGTCAGGGCACATACCTAGGTTTCGGGTTTAATCCCTGGTTGGGAAGGCAGTCGATTGGTGTTTCTCTCTCACATTGATGTTTCTCTCTCCCCATCCCTCTATCTTTAAAATCAATAAAAACATCCTCGAGTGAGGATTAAAAAAAGAAGAAAAACAGCCTGCTGAGCCCTATTCCTTAGTCTGACATTAATCCAGAGTTTTCCCCTCTATTAGCTGACTTGAAAAAGGATCCTAGTCAGTTTCACAATTTACAACATGCACAAAGAAGGGGGGGGGGGGTAATTAATTGCTTAGGAGGAATAATCCTGATAATAAAAGTTAAATATTTTGTAATGAAATTCTCAACCATATCTTCACATTAGTAACTATGATTGGTATCCCAAGACTATGCCCCTGAACACTGATAGTTTAACACAGGGGTGGGCAAACTTTTTGACTCGAGGGCCACAATGGGTTCTTAAACTGGACGGGAGGGCCGGAACAAAAGCATGGATGGAGTGTTTGTGTGAACTAATATAAATTCAAAGTAAACATCATTACATAAAAGGGTACGGCCTTTTTTTTTTTTTTTAGTTTTATTCATTTCAAACAGGCCGGATCCGGCCCGCGGGCTGTAATTTGCCCACGGCTGGTTTAACACCAAGTATACTAGAGGAAAAACCCTGCTTGTGGTACTAATAGGCTTGCAAAAATGGAATGATCATTTTTATAAGAAAGTTAACTACATCTAAAAAATGAACCTTCTGCAAATCTGCAGTTTGTAATCCTATATAATAAAACCCTAATACACAAATCAATCGAACGACAGAAAAACCAGTCGCTGTGATGCACACTGACCATTAAGGGGCAGACGCTAAATGCAGGAGCTGCCCCCTGGTGGTCAGTGCATTCCCATAGAGGGAGTGCTGCTCAGCCAGAAGCCCGGCTCACAGCTTGAGAGTGCAGCAGTAGTGGTGGAAGCCTCTCCTGCCTCTGCTGCAGGTGGTTGGTAAGGAGCGAGAGGTCCCGGATTACGAGAGCCCCCGACTGTGAGAGGGATGTCTGAATGCTGGCTTAGGCCCGGTCCCCCCAGGGGGATCAGGTCTAAGCTGGCAGTCACCCCTCAAGGGGTCCTGGACTGTGAGAGGGCACAGGCTAGGCTGAGGGCCCCCCCCCACCACCACCAGTGCACTAATTTTGTGCACCGGGCCTCTAATAGATAATAAACTCACAGAATTATGGCAGTTTGAACCCTAGTTAATGCTTGCTAATCTCAGCTGAGCTTTCCTTGCTGCTTAGCAAGCCTGTCCTGCCTTCCTGAATGGCCCACACCACATTACTTATGCCAACTATCCCAGACTTTTTCTTCCTTCCTAGAATTCAAAATTGAATGGCTGTAACTGCTGACCTCACCTAACATATCATAGGCCATCCAACTAGCATCCCCTTAACATTCCTCAATATTTGAAAAAATTTCCAGAGCTACCTCTTCCACTTGTGCCCATCCCCTCCTACTTCCTATAGATCCTGCTCCCTTCCCATTGGCCTTTTTCTTTTTCAAAATACCAGATCCCGAGATCCTCCACCCTGCATATCACTGAATGGTGTTCCAGCTCCTTCCCTCTGTCGGCCATCTTTTTAAAAAATACATATTTTTATTGAATTCAGAGAGGAAGAGGGAGAGAGAGAAACATCAATGATGAGAGAGAATCATTAATCGGCTGCCTCCTGCACGCTCCCTACCAGGGGTCGAGCCTGCAACCCGGGCATGTGCCCTTGGCAGGAATCGAACCCAAGACCCTCCAGTCCACAGGCAGATGCTCTATCCACTGAGCCAAACCAGTTAGGGCTCTGTCAACCATCTCAAAGGAGTAGCTGTGTCCACCTACATCTACATCTGCTCCCTCTTTATGTCTGTAATCTTACCTTGTTTTCTCGGCTGAACTGGCTCATTGATGGTATCAACAGCCTAAGCACCAAATCTAACAGCTCCCCCCTCCCCTCCGTCCTATCCTTTCTCTCTAGGTGCAGTTTACCACCTGACCCTTGAAGCTCTCTCTCCCCTGGCCCTCCATAGCCTTGCTCTACCCTGCTTCTCTTATGGCAGCCTCTTTCCCTTCATTGGGGTTCTGGTGACTTACAGCCCTTACCGTAAGTGTGAGTGATACTCCAAGTTTTGTCTTTAGCTTCTTGTATTTGGTCTTTTCAGAATCTCAACTCTCAACCTTATGTGCACAGTCCTTGCCTGTATTCCCAGCCTCCACCCTCAGTGGGCTCACCTGCCTTTCAAATTCCATATATTCTTTAAAATCTCCATTTTCAACCTCTTTCCCTCCCAAGTTCCATGTTTCACTTAATGCTGTAACTGTTCTCCAGACACTTAACTGCTTACCGGGGCCAAGCAGGTAAACTCAGTGAGGAAGCTGCTGGAAATAGTCCAGAGGGAGGAGGGGACCAGATGACTTGGCAGACAACGTCAAGCATTTTGAAAACACGGTAGGAGCCAAGCGAAGCTTTCTGCAGTCTGCATCTGGTCCCTGCGCTGTCCAATTTGTAACATCAGGTTTCCAAATCATATCAGGTCCACCCTCAGCAGGTCCTGCCCACCCATCCTGTCCCTTCAAGTCTCTCTGCCATTTCAGAAAGTTAGACCTTACTGTGTTTTCCCGAAACTTAAACTGCCATGGATTTTTTAAACCAAGACAGCAACAATAAAAACCCCTCCAAACCTATGTTAAAGTCACATCCCTGAATTTAAGTGTTGAATAAGGTAATTTAGTTTTTATCAAGCAAAACTAATGATAATGTCAGTACAGTGAGGGCCTAGAGCACCCAAAGTGTAATGACCTTACAGTTTCATTAAAGTTAACTCTGGCCCTAGCCGGTTTGGCTCAGTGGATAGAGCATCAGCCCAGGACTGAAGGGTCCAGGTTCGATTCCAGTCAAGGGCACATACCTAGGTTGCAGGCTCAATCCCCAGCCCTGCTCCGGGCTTGTGTGGGAGGCAACCAATTGATATGTGTCTCTCTCACATTGATGTTTCTCTCTCTCTGTCACTCCCCCTCCCTTCCACTCTCTAAAAATCAATGGAAAAATATCCTCGGGTGAGGATTAGTAACAACAAAAATTAACTTTGGAAAAGCAATAAAATAGCACATTAGTCGAGTGATTAGTTTCTTAAATTTCATTTATGAACAGATATTACTTATGGTATAGTATATGGTATTGTATGAGTATTGTATAATTATAAAGGATCACGCCAGTGTCTCAACCCAATAAAAATAAGCAATATAGTCATTTCCCTTGTAAGTTCCAATGCTGAAATTCTGATTACAAGAGTCATTATTGAAAAAAAAAAAGTTTTATTTTTCTTGATCAGGCAGAAATGGACAAAAACAGCAAGATGTAAAGATTCAATACACTATGGCTAATGTTACATGATAAAACAATGTTTTATAAACATCATGCCAATTACTCTAGTACCATAGAAATTAGACAACTACATTGCATTTAATTCAAAATCTCATCACCA